GCTTGGGTTCTGAGGTTGCATTTTGTTCCTTCTCGTCATTTTGTGTAGCACTGTCTTCTGCCCTTTGTTGTAGATCTTTGCTGTAGTTATAACCTTCACATGTACTGAAGTTCAGGTACAGCTCTACAAAGTTTGGACTTATCCAGTTGCGTCTGGTTTTTGTCTGGCTGCTGTGCTCAGCTCCTTCCCGCTGCTGGCCTTGAGGGTGAACCTATTGTGCCCCTGTGGCAAGATGTTCTGCTCCTGGACTAGCTAGGTGGATCTATCCTCTACACTCTCTGCAGGGATTGCAGCTGCAGGGTTACACCTCAGGCATGTATGCCAGGCCTGAGCTGTACCTGGAGGGGGCAAGGTGAAGTAGGGTAAGAAGAAGCTCTCCCACACACTCACTGGACCTGGGCTAAGACTGGGTACGGGGGTTCCCAGAACACCGCAAAATTCCTACTCGCGGTGCAGGGTGCACAGGTGCTGCTGAGTGGAACGGGGCGGCCCAAGGGGGTGGGAGAGGGTCCGGCCCGCGCTGCGCCTCAGCTGAGATTGGTCCCACAGGTGCAAGGTAGCAGGAAGCTCTCCACACACTCACCGGACCTGGGCTAGGACTGGGCCTGGGGGTTCCCGGAACTGGGCAGAAATTCCTACTCGGTGGACGGGGTGGGGGAGGTATGGCGGAGTTATGGGGGATGGCCTGAGGGGGTGGGGGAAGGTCCAGCACACGCTGCGCCTTGGCTGGGACTGGTCCCACTGGCGCAGGGTAGCAGGAAGGTCTCCACACACTCACCGGACCTGGGCTAGGACTGGGTCTCTGGTTGCCTTACTTGTTCTTAACCTTCTAAATCATTTGCACTCAGTGGTTCCCCAGGTTTAAGTCGATAAGAACTCAGTAGTTTTCCAGGTTCAAGTCCATAAGCACCCATTATAGGAGTGTTCACTCTGATTATACAAGGAAAATTTTAAAAATCTTCTATGAGAAAAATAGAAAAACACACATGTATATGCATGTTTCACTGCAGTTCAAACTGTAACAAAAATGAACTCAAAAGAGAATGTAACGAGCTTGGTGTTATGTGCCTCACCATTTCAGTAAAGTTGAACTGGTTACAGATGTTCCTTGAGGTAGTGGGAATGTTTGAGCAACTAAAAAACTGATGTGAAATAGATTGAACATTGAATATACATTTTATATAGCATATCTAATAGTCATGCCATTGCCACATTAACATGCTTATCATGCTTGTATTGACTTATAGTCTAGTAGAAAAATCTAACAGTACATTCTGTGATAAAGTATCATATACAATTTATTGGAATACAGAAAAAGTATTTTTACTTTATTCTTTTATCTGTTTACTGACAGAGCAGGGCTCATTGTTCCTGCCCAAAAGAAATTCTGAGTATTGCTTCTGTAAGCAGAAATAGGGATGGATCACTAAAATATGACATCATCAGCTCTTTGGAGAAGATACACACAAAAGGAAGCACTACACTGAATGGAATTACATGTAGGTTGTTTTAAAAAAAATAATTTGTACAAAGACTTCAAAGATGGTTTAATTACCTATCCACCAACAGCACTAAATGATTCCTTTTTCCCAGAAGCCTCATGAACATATTTTGAAGTTCAGCATGATGCAGTCTTTCTAGCATGAGATGATGTTGCAATTTGCATTTCTGTATCATGCAAAAAAGTCATTTTTCAGGTATTAACTTTTTTTTTTCATTCTGACTTGTATTCATTTGTGTGTTCATTTCAGATATTAGATCTCTGAGGAGTATCAGGCACAATTCTTCCTTTTCTGTTATTTCTTCCATGTTTGTGCTGGAGTTCTCAATTTTTATATAATCCCGTATGTTGTCATCTCATTTTCTACCCAAAACACCAACAGCCATGTTCAGAAAACAAAATTTCATGTCTCTACATTGAGAACATGAGATTACAGGCTCATTAATGATTGTTTATTTTATACTGATGCAGGCATATATGTGACTGCTGAAAATGTAACCATGAAAACTGTATTTTCTGAGCAAAAAGTCATAGTGATTTGTAGTGATTTTTTACACTAACCTAGGTTTATACACTTGAGCTGAGATTATTTTTTTTCCTTAAACTTCAAATGCAGATATAAAAACAACTACTTCATAGTAGCTGAGGCATTTAGCTAAATTGCCTTCTGTTTTGGCTACTTTCTTCTCATTGCTAGGACAAAATTCTGACCCCCAAAATTAAAGTAAATGTTTGTTTAGCTCAGAATTTGAGTTTTCATATTTGGCTAGTTCCAAGGCAGGGTGACACATAGTAAAGGGTAACAGATGGTGGCTAGAAGAAAGCAAAAGCAGCAAGAGCAGAAAGGGAGATGTTATGATTTTGGTAGTCTACAGCAATCAGAAGGTCAAAGCAACACATTTTATTTTATTCATATGGTGCAAAAATGAACACTAAGTTAAAGGCCATTGCAACACAAACATGAAAACTAAAATTTTGATGGTAAAAAAAAACAAACATGTAAATTGTATTGGCTTCAGTAAAACAGAAAAACATGCAACATACAGGAAATGATATAATATACAATAATATTAAGATACAAGCAGGGATCGATTCTCAGCCTTTTGCTAAGATTAAGTGTAGTAATGAAAAACATTTGGTAATCTATAAATTCTGTGAACTTTACTTTGTCAAAAACATATTCACAAGCCTCTAAAAGACATATATCTCAATGTAAAATGTGGCATCAACTTCACAAACATCATTTATTACACACAAGACAGAGTAGATGGACCAAAACTTAAAAATATATAGTGAGGCAAAATTCCAACAATTTACAAAAAAAGTAAGTTTTTTAGTGGCCTATACCTCCCAATTTTTTTTTTTCTCCGAATGCCTTCAGGGCTGTTTTGGCTGGCTTCAGTTGTGGGGATCAAACTACGGCAACCTGAGCCTGACTGCTTTGTTGAAGTAGCCACTTAAAAGAACTGAGCTAAGGGGCAGGGTCCCTATATCTCCCAATTTTAAAGGCAAAACATTAAGCATGCAAAAACTATACTTGAAAGTAAAACCTACATTTTTTTCAATTCACCACATTTAATTAAGACTATGGACTGAGAAGAGACAATAAAAATACAAAATTATGTAAACAGTATTTTCATACTAAACCCTTGCAAACACATAGATATATATGAGTGATTTAGTGAAAATCACAGCATACATACACTTCATGATAGCTCCACTTTATTAATATCAAACATTTTGCACTTTCTTTAGGTCTCCACTACACAAAAAATTTTCACAGGATTTGCAAAATCAGCTTAAATGTATAGTTCTTCTCTAGCAAGGCTTCATGTATTTTACAATGTGTTTGGACCAGCACCTTTCCCACATTACTCCTCTACAGAGGATTTCTGCCTAGTAAGTTCTTTCATACATTTGATAATGTGCAGAACATATCTATTTATCCTATATACAAAGGATTAATCCCCGGTGTGAATGCTCTTGTGTATTTTACACTCACTGTGCTTGCTGAAAATTTGCCCTCATTTGCATACAAATGATTTCTTCCCAATATGAATCCTTTCATGTGTTCACAAATGGTGGTTTGTGCTAAAAGCTTTCCCACATTGCTTACATACAGTGTTTCTCCCCAGTGTGAATCTTTTCATGTCTGTGACAAGAACTGTGTGTGCTAAAAGCTTTTCCACATTGCTTACATACATATGGTTTCCCCTCTGTATGAAGTCTTTCATGTATTTTACAATATCCTTGCGTGGTGAAAGCTTTCCCACAATGTTGACATACATAAGGTTTCTCCCCAGTGTGAATTCTTTCATGTGTTCGACAATGAGTGCTTCTGCTGAAAGCTTTTCCACATTGCTTACATGCATAGGGTTTCTCCCCAGTATGAATTCTTTCATGTATTTTACATGCGCTGTGAGTAAAGAAAGCTTTCCCACACTGCTTACATAAAAAGGGTTTCTTCCCAGTATGAACTCTTTCATGTGCTCTCAAACGATGGTTTGTGATAAAAGCCTTCCCACACTGTTTACATACATAGGGTTTCTCGCCAGTGTGAAGTCTTTCATGCAGTTTAAAACATGCAAGTGTGGTAAAAGATTTCCCACACTGTTTACATACATACGGTTTCTCCCAAGTGTGAGTTTTTTCATGACTCTGACATTGAGTGTTTCTGCTGTTTTTGCTAAAAGCTTTACCACATTCTTTACATACATAAGGTTTCTCCCCAGTGTAAATTCTTTGATGGACTTTATAGTCATGGTATATGTTGAAAGCTTTTCCACACTGTGTACATATATAGGGTTTCTCCCCTGAGTGAGTTCTTTCATGTACTTTACAATCACGGTACCTGTTAAAAGCTTTCCCACATTGTTTACACGCATAGGGTTTCTCCCCACTGTGAGTTCTTTCATGACTTCGACAATGAGTGTTTCTACTGAAAGCTCTCCCACACTGCTTACAAATATATGGTTTCTCCCCAGTGTGAATTCTCGCATGTACTTGACAGTGATGTTTTGTGTTGAAAGCTTTCCCACATTGTTTACATACATAGGGTTTCTCCCCAGTGTGAGTTCTTAAATGACACTGAAAATGACTCTTTTTGCTAAAACCTTTCCCACATTCCTCACATACATAGGGTTTCTCTCCCCTATAATTTGTTTGATAGATCTCAACATTATCGTGTATGTCTGTTTGATTCACGTCCACATTAACATCTGGAGTACAAAGGAGTATTCCTTCATATCGATTCCAACCTTTATATTGATAGCATTTCTGTATCTCTTCATTTCTGTAAAGAAAAAGAAGTCATATTAAAATGATTTAGCAGAACAAGTTCTGTTTTGTTGCCTGATAAGAAATTTTGACAATAAATTAACCGAATACCTGGCAGGATACATTAAAAACATTCCCAAAATAGTATTTACTTGTGAATTTTAAATATGCGTATTTTGAAATAAAATGTTTAGCTTCATTGTTAGCACTTAGTTCATATCATTTTGATATGTTTTCGCCCTATATTCTACCCTATGTCTCCTTACCCTGCTTGTCTTTCCAATCACCAAAAAGTCAGTCTGTCCTTTTGACTATCACCTCTCTCTTTTTTTTTTTGGGGGGGGGGGGAACCGGGGATTGAACTCAGGCCCATTCTACTGAGCTGTCTCCCTCGCCCCTATAACCTCTCTTTTATTTTACTCTCCAATTTACATTTTGGTTTCTCATCTAAAAGAAACCACGTGACATTTCACACTGTGTGGATGAGTTATTTCACTGAACAGTAGGGCAGAAAGACCTATTTCTTCTTGCAAATGGCATATTATTTTGGGGGGGTGCTGATGATAAAGTACATTATCTTTTTCTTTTCAGTACTGGCAATGAAACATAGGTCTTAGCACAAAATCTTCCGCTTCATACTTCTTATTTTGAGAAATTGTTAATGATGACTAAGTTGTTCAGGCTGAAATTCAACTTGCCTTTCTGCAAAATCTGCTTCATAAAATTCTGGCTTTATATGAATGCACAATCACATGGACTTATAAAAAATGTTCCTTATCCATGGACCTAGCAATAGATATTTAAGCTGATTCAATTGCTTACTGGTTATAAAATGACCTTCTTTGACAATGTGCATGCATGCATTTATACAATATGATGATTTTAACTCCTTCAAGAATATACCCAGAATTAAGTATGAATCAACTTTTATTTTATTTTTAAAGAAAACAATAAAAAGTAAAAAGAAGAAAAAAATTAGAAATAAAAAATTTTACTAAACAAAATGATAGGAATTCAACAATGGTTGTTATATCACATATTGTTGTCTTCCAATTAATTGTTTGGATTACCAGATATAAGCATGTGGGGTGGGGCACCTGCAGGGTTAGCTCAGTTGTTTAAGTGCCTGCTCATGCAAACACAGTCAAGCCCAGGGGACTGGGGTTCAATCCCTAGCTCCACATGACTTATCAGACCCACCCTTAAGGCAGCCTGAGCCAGCCAAAAACAATCCTTACCAGATATAAGCATGTAAAATTTGTCAAAAATATTTAAGCACCAGGGAGATGGCTCAGTAGAATAAGCACTTGTCTGGCAAGCGCAAGGGCCTGAGTTCAATCCCTGGTTCTCAAAAAAAAAAAAAAAAAAATGGGGAGCCAGGGAAATGTCTCAGCAGAATACACGCTTCCCTGGCAAGCATAAGGGTCTGAGTTCAATCCCCCATTCCTCAAAAAAATAAAAAAATAGAAAAATAAAAAAAAATTAAGCATTAACTGTTCAATAAGCAGAACGATTATCCAAGTTATACTGTGTATACACATATATATTTTCCCTCTTCTTTCTTTCCTCCATTCTCTCATCTTAGTTGTTACTTCTCTTTGACCAGTTTCTTTCCCTTTCACACTATTATAGCTTTCAGATTTTATTTAGAAATAAAAATTTTCTTTTTACTTACCAACAGAGTAAAAAGAAAACCCACAAGTTGGGAAAAAGTCATAGCTAATTGTCCCTCAGACAAAGGATTCCTATCTAGAAAATATAAAGAACCAAAAAAAATTAACTCCCCCAAATTCAAAGACTCAATCCAAAAATCGGTATCTGAGATGATACATATGTCCCTGATGAAAAAATATAAATGGCAAGTAAGTATATGAAAAAATGTTCAACATCATTAGTCATTCAATAAATGCAAATTAAAACAACATAGATATTTCATCTTACCCCAGAAAAAGATGGCTATCATACAGAAGTCAACCAATAACAAATCATGGAGAGGCTGTAGGCAAAAAGGAACTCTTCTCTACTGTAGGTATGAGTGTAGACAGAAACTACTACTATGCAAATCAGTATGGGGATTCCTCAAAAAGGTAGAATTAAAGATCCCATTCAACCCAGGTTTTCCTCCCCTAGGCATTTTTTCCAAAAAAACCTGAAAACCTCATACCACAGGGATATGTGTGCACCTATGTTTACAGCAGCACAATCTGACATAGCTAAATCTTGAAAACAATCCAAATGCCCATTAATTTAGGAATCTGTAAAAAAGATGTGGAATTTTTATATAATAATGCTATAAAAAGAGATAAACTTGAGGCTTTTATATGTAAATGGATGCAACTAGAGCCCATACTCATCAGTGAAATGAATCAGACCCACATGGGCAAACGCTGGATTAACTTTTAGAGACATTTGTGTACTGGTTATCATAGTGACTGTTCTTAAAATTGCACCAGCTTTCTAAGGAGGTTAAGTCAGTATGAACTCAATTCACAGAAGAATGGCTAGAAAACACATATACTAGCTGTCATTTATTCTTTACTGCCTCAAGATTTACAATTTTTGGATTTTGTATGTTATATTCAATGTAGACAGGGTTCTTAAAGACAATTTAGTTATTTTTCTTTTCATGTATATCTATATGCAATACTTAAATGTAGTTTCATAATTTTCATGATTCAATTGTGAGATTATACATACTAAAGCTGCATACATCTTTGGAGAATATTTTTGACATTAAGTTAGACTTTGTTTCATTTCTTTGGCTCACACACTGCCTCTTGAGGAACATTCTTTTTCCTTGACAGTACAAATTACCTTAGATTTCTGGAGTAATTTTTGTGTTCTTTTCCAACTTTCTGGATATCCCAAGCTCTTCCTGAATTGTATACACAGAAATATAAGGACTTATTATATTTATACATAAAAATTAATAAATTTCAGTTATATTCAGAACTGAGATATTCTTCAAAAAATTTTCACATTTTTTGTAATGAAACAGCAATGATGAGCAACAGATATCATCTGATAACATAAGTGAGAAACAGATGTCATCCTTACCTATATCAGCTAAGTTTCTAAAGGTTTCCTTCATCACATCTTTGTAGATCTTCCTTTGGAATGGACTCAGCAAAGCCCACTCCTCATTGGTGAATTTAACAGCCACATCATCAAAGGTCACGGACACCTAAATGATTATATATATATATATATATATATATATATATATATATTGCTCTATTTGTAATCCCAGCACTCAGAAGGTTGAGGCAAGAGGATTTCCATGAGTTCAAGATCAGTATGGGCTACAAGGTTAGCTCAAGGCTAGACTACACTACATAGAGAAAGGACCTGTTTCAATGAAGTAAAAAAAGAACAGCTGAAGAAAGGTTGAATTCTTCAAATGTTAATTCCATGTGTTAGACATCAACATCATGTATAAACACATTTTGTTCAGACAGCAGTTCTAATGCAATATTTCAACTCACTGCTAATGCATTAGCAGATCAAGGGCACTGGTTCCCTTGCTGAGTTACATCAAGGGTATCTGTACGATGGCGCCAAAACAGAGCTCACAGTGAGAAACTAAAAGTCCACCACCCATCTGGGGAGATAGCTCAACACCATAAGCACCTGCCTGGCAAGCGTAAGGCCCTGAGTTCAATTCCTGGAAAAACAACAACAACAAAAAAGACTACCACCCACAAAATACTGGGGCAGATGAATATCTAATGAATCACTTTGATAGACCATACATAATGTCTTTCTTCAAATCTCATTATTTATGGCACTGAGTTCTTCTTTCTCTGATGTACTTAAGGAGCATTTTGAAACTTGAATCTGGCATCACAGAAATATAACTGAAAATAATATATATATATTAAAATACTCATATATATATATATAGACACACTCATTATTGGAACAAGTCTGTAACCAATGAAAACAAAGGCTGCAATTTACCTTACAGCTCAATGCTACCAAGTGATCACCTAGCACTCAAATATAAGAAATTCCAGGATTGTAAGAGGGGAAGAACGAAATGTACCATATGCATTGAAAACATATCACAGAGTAATTAGGCACAAAAGGAAAATTTACACCAGGTGTGTTGGTAGTGGTGGACACATATTGGGAAAACAAAACGAGAACAAGTAAGTACCCTAATGATGCACCTCAAGCTTCTAGAAAAAGAGCAAAACAAGCCCAAATCCCAAAGATGGGAGGAAATCATAAAGATTAGAGCAGAAATTAATGCAATCGAGACAAAGTATACAAAGAATTAATGAATAAAAAAATGAGTCTTTGAAAGATTACATAAAATTGATAAACCCCTAGCTAATCTCATCAAAAAGAGAAAAGAAAAAACTCAAATTCAAGCAATAAGGAATGAAAAGGGTGAAATTACTACAGACCCTGTGGAAATTCATAAGATCATCACTTACTACTTTGAAAATCTTTACACTCATGGAACCGAGGACACAGAAGAAATGGAGAGTCCTAGGCAGGTACAAATTATCATAATTCAATCAAAAAAATATAAACACTCTGAATAACCCAATTACCACCCAACGAAATTGACTATGTAATAAAAAATTATAGACAAAGAAAAACCCAGGTCTGGATGGATTCACAGCTGTATTCTACAAGAAATTTAGAGAAGATTTAATCCTAATACTCTTCAAAGTCTTCAATGAAAATGAAAAGGAGGCAACACTCCCAAAATTATTTCTGGGGGCAAGTATTACACTGTAAAGGGTTAATAGAATTTTGTGCCTTAATTATAAAAAATTATAAAAACCCCTTGTGCTTCCTGTTATCTGCTCTAAGAAATGTGTTCTCCCTTTCAGCTCAAGGCTGTTCAACAATAAATAACTGTTTCTTGTCAAGGCAGCAAGCTAACACAGACTCCCTCCCCAACCATCTTCTGCAACATAGTCAGCTTAAGATATACCTTACAAAAATATGCACTTATCACTAAGCTGTGAAAGACCTTTTAGTTATAAACAGTTTACAGCTGTGTCAAATGAATGCAGTTTCTGTTGTTCTATACTAGACAACAAGTTTGCTTACCAAACTGGATGTGATTTCTGTTATAAATACCCCCTTGCTACCTACGTTCGGGGACGATCAGCCTTCTCCTGTGAGAAAAGTGGCTGACGGACCTGAGCTCAGTAAATAAAAGGCTCTATTCAAATTTCTACCTGGCTGATCTGTTTCCTATGCAGAGTTGACCCATAACATTTGGGGGCTCATCCGGGATTCCCTTCATTGGGGATCAATTATAGGAACTTATAATTGATAAAATGGTCTTTGGAAACCATTTCCCCAGGGGAAATTTCTGGCCCTGGGACAGTGTCCAAAAACTCAAAAATCATACCATTCGGAATGACTAGACCGAGCCATCTGAAAGATCTTGCTGGTAAGACATCTGTGTCTGTTCTGTCGGGGCGCCCCCTCTGAGAGTCCTAAGAGGTGCTGGACGCAGCGATAGCCTCTGGACTCGACTCCTTTCCATGACGATGGGTTGGAGTCTTAGGTCTGTTTCTGTTTCGTTTTTGTGTGTTTCGGTCGATTGTCATTTGTCTGTCTGATAACGATGGGTCAGTCTGCTTCTGCTTCTGTGTCGCCTTTGCAATGTATTCTTGATCATTTCCAGGAATTCCGATGGTGAGCTGCTGACTACGGAGACTTTGTCTCCCCCGGGGACTCTCCGCACTTTGTGCGAACTGGAGTGGCCCCACCTATCGGAGTCTGTATGGCTTCCGGAGGGCTCTTTTAATATCTTTCTTGCTTATCAGGTCCGTAGGGTCATATATAAAAAGCCGGGACATCCTGATCAAGTCCCATATATTCAAACATAGATAGATTTATTACACGACCCTCCAAAGTGGATAAAAACCTGTCGCCATGTGTGGGCATCACGCCAATGTGCCTCTGGTACGGTGGTGCTGGCCGCCACTCCAGAAAAGGATCCTCAGAGTCCGAAAAGGCCACCTGTGCTGCCCCCAACATCTGAATCTCCGACTCCCCCTCCTTACCCTAAGCTGTCCCGTCTTCCCCTTAACCTTTCAGCTAGCCCCGACTCCTCCACTCCTCTGAGTCCACTGCATACCCATAGCGAACTGCCCTTTTCTCAGCCCCTGCCATCTGACCCTGATCGTTTTCCCACCTCAGCACCAGCCTTAGTACTTCCTCTCCATGAACAATTGGGTGGAGATGACCGCCCTTTCATGGCTTATGTCCCCTTCTCGACTAGTGATTTATATAACTGAAAAAAACCAGAACCCCTCTTTCTCTCAGAATCCTCAAGGGCTTGTATCTCTTCTGGAATCTGTTTTCTTCACCCATCAGCCCACTTGGGATGATTGCCAACAGCTTTTACAGACCCTTTTTACATCTAAAGAGCGAGAGCAAATCCGGGGGTGTGGATGAAAATTAATTTTGGGCCCAGATGGCCAACCAGCTTCAGATCCTGTACGACTGGAGGAGTCCTTCCCTTTGACTCGTCCTAACTGGGATTCTAATTCCCATAGAGGTAAGGAGGCTCTCAGTCAGTATTGCCAGCTTCTTTTAGGGGCAATCAGGGCGGCGGCTAGAAAGCCTACTAATTTGTCTAAAATTACAGAGGTCAGTCAGGGACCTGATGAGTCTCCGGTGGCATTCTTAGAGCACCTCCAAGAGGCCTATCGGATATATTCACTGATAGATCCTAAAGCCCCTGAGAATCGCCGCGCTATGAATATTGCCTTTGTATCTCAGTCGGCCCCAGACATTAGAAAGAAATTGCAGAAGATTGAAGGATTTGAAGGAAAAGCTCTTACAGAGCTGGTGGAGATAGCTCAGCGAGTTTTTAATAACAGGGAAGACCCTAGGGAGCTAAATAAGAGGATGGAAAAGGTTCTGATTGCCATGGGGTAAAAGGACTCAAAAGTTTAAAAAAAGGATCCAAAAAATAAAAAATAAAAAAAAAAGATGCCGCTTAAAAAAAACGAGTGTGCCTATTGCAAGGAAAAAGGACATTAAAAACATAAATGTCAAAAAAAAAAAAAAAAAGCCTGCTCAGGTCTTGATGCAGGAAAAGGAAGTCTAAAGAGGCCAGGGCTCTGAATCTGGCCCCCAGGAGCCCATGGTCACCTTAGAGGTAGGGGGCCAATCTATTGACTTTCTGGTAGACACTGGAGCTACTTACTCTGTCCTGCAACAACCTGCGGGGCCCCTATCAGAAAAAAGGACACGTATACAAGGAGCCACTAGAAAGACTAAGTCATACCCTTGGACCCAGGCCCATATAGGAAACCTGGGAACAAAACAGATGACTCACTCTTTCCTAGTTATGCCAGAATGCCCGTATGCTTGATTGGTCATGACTTACTCCATAAATTACAAGCGCAAATCTCCTTCCAAGAAAACTCTATAGAGATTTCACTTGGAAAAGAAGATCCTTTACGTTCTGCCATTCTATACACCTGCCCTTTGACTGAAAAACATTTGTTGCTGGCAGGTGAGGAACCCAAAGAGATCTCCTCTGACTTGCTTGTAAAATGGACATCTAAAATACCTGGGGTATGTGCTGAAAATAACCCCCCTGATCTGGCTGCCCATCAGCCACAAGTAGTGATCTCTCTTTTATCTGGGGCATCTCCTGTTCGTGTCCGCCAATACCCCTTGAACCTACAGGCCAGGTTAGGAATAAGTGTCCATATACAGAGACTCAAAAAGGAGGGCATTCTGGTTCCCTATAAGTCTGCTTAAAACACACCCCTGTTGCCAGTCCAGAAGCCTGGAACCACAGACTACAGACCAGTCCAGGATTTATGGAAAGTAAACCATAGAGTGGAAACTATCCACTCCACGGTGCCCAACCATATACACTTCTGAGTCTGCTGCCCCTGGACCGAGTCTTCTACACAGTCCTGGACTTAAAGGATGCTTTCTTCACTATCCCATTGGCTCCGGTAAGTCAATCCATTTTTGCTTTTGAATGGGTGGACCCCCAGATGGGAGAAAATGGCCAATTAACCTGGACCAGATTACCTCAGGGCTATAAAAACTCACCAACCCTGTTTGATGAGGCACTGAGCAGAGACTTGCTAAATTTTCGGGGAAAATATCCCCAAGTAACTGTGTTACAATACGTTGATGACATATTGTTGGCCTCTAACACCTATGACTTGTGTAGAGAGG